TTAGAGCACAGGTTCTGGGACAGGGACAGAAATGGTCATGGCAGGAATCGACCCTAGTGAAGATTAGGGAATGAAAGCCAGACACCAGGCCTCCAGGGAGCAGGGCTTTATTTGAATTCCCTAGGACAGGGCTGGGGGAGGTAGTCAGGGAGGGCCCGTGGTCAAGGACACACCCAAGTTCACATCCTGGGGACCCTAGCCCCCTGCCCCTAAACCCGGGGCCCGGCTGGAGTTGGAAGGTGGCACAGGCAGTTCTGGGAGAACGTCGATGTCTACTCCACCCCCTTCATGAATTCCAGGAACTCTGTGAGAGAGGGGCAGGCATAGGTCAGAGGTCGGGGCTGGGCAGGGCATGGGCAGTGGGGATTCAGCACACCCCTACTCACCGTCATAGTCAATGCGGCCATCGTTGTTCTTGTCACCATCCTTCATGAGCTCCTCAATGTCATCCTCTGTGATGGTCTCACCCGTAGCCTGAAGCATGATCTTCAGCTCCTCCAGGTCGATGTAGCCATCAGCGTTTCTGCCAGTTGGGTAAGGGGGGCCTCAGAGCCCATGGTAGGGGCAGGGGGAGGGGAAGAGGCAGCCCTGCTCAAGACCCCAGGAAGTAAGGAAGAGCCACTGGGAGATGGGGCATCCCATCCCGCATTGCACAGAACGGGAGACTGAGGCCTCGAGGTCACAAGAGTGCCCCCCTCTGCCCAGTTCCGCTAGGGTCAGGGTCAGAGGTCAAGGGTCACACACTCACTTGTCAAACATGCGGAAGAGGTCAGAAAGCTCCTCCTCAGACTTTCCTTTGCTGTCATCCTTCATGCACCGAACCATCATGACCAAGAACTCATCAAAGTCCACTGTGCCACTGCCTGGGGGGGGGGGCGCCGGCGCCCTCGGGGGAGGAAGTGGGCGCGGGCCCGAGTGGGTGGGGGCTGCTCTCAGACCCCGCGCCACCAGGGCTCCTCCCCCGGGACCCGCCGCAGCGACTTCCCCCAATTTTTTTTTTCCGGGCAAACTTTCCTGGGCCGTCCCGGGGGTTGGTGTGGGAGGGGGTGCCTCCAAGTTTCCTCTCCTGACTGGGAAGATCAGGGTACCTCCACCCCGCCCCTCGCCACCTAGGCGCCGGGGCGCGCCCCCCACCACCGGCGCAGGCAGATCCCAGGGCGGGACGGCGACGGGGTCAGGAACTCGGGCACCCAAGCCCATCCCTCGCCCCGGGGCGCCCCAAAAGGGGCCACCGCGCCCCGCCAGCCAGCAGTACTGAGCAAAAAGAACTGATTATTGATTGGGTGATTGGGATCGCTGAGACTCGCGGCGGGCCGGGGCGGCGGGCGGGGGGGGGGGGGGGGTGGGCAGCACAGCCGTTGTAGAGCAACGGTCAGAATAGTTGGCACTGCCCTTGACACTAGACCCCACTGTTCTCACTGCATCCTCATAGCAACTCTGTGAGACAAGTGTGGTCATTGTGCCCATTTTATAGATGATGGCCAAGGCTCAGAGAGGCTAAACAGCTCCTTTAAGGGCACAGAGTAATAAGTGGCAGAGCCAGGATGCAGGTCCCCAGAGAGTTGGGGGCACTATGGGTCTGGGGCCGGGGCAGGGGGGCAAAGGGGCTCACCATCCTCATCCACCTCGTCAATCATCTCCTGCAGCTCCTCAGGTGTGGGGTTCTGCCCCAGCATCCTCATCACTTTGCCCAGCTCCTTGGTGCTGATGCAGCCATCCTCAGCGCCCAGCACGAAGATGTCAAAGGCTGCCTTGAACTCTGCGTCCAATAGGAGAGGAGGGGAAACAGAGCAGCCAGGGCTCAGCAGCCAAGAACCTGGAAGGCCAGACCCCCTAGGGCCACCTGCTAACCTGCCCACTTCCCTCTGAGACCTCTGAGGTCACAGGGAGAGGGACCCCAGCCTCTGGCCTCCAGCCTGGGGTCCTCATGCTCCCCAAGCCCGGCTCTGCTGTTCCCCCACATGCGTGTTGGGGTACTCACCATTTTTCTGCTCTTCTGTCAGCTGCTCTACCTAGAGAGGAAAAGAGGTCTCAGGACCTAGGCTCAGGCCTTAACTGCTGTCAAGGAAACCAACCCATTCCACAGGTGGGAAGACTGAAGCCCGGAAGAGGCAGGCCATTCCCAGGTCACAGAGCAGAGGCCTCAGTTCTCCCTCCTAGCCCCCAGAATCCTGAAGTGACCCAGCTGGCCTCACTGAGACTGGGCTCAGGGCCAGGGTGACAGGTGGGCACCCCCTCCAGGACTAAGGTAACCCTGAGTAACAATAGTCAGTGACCACTCAACGCCCTTTCGCCCCCACCCCCCACCGAAACCCAAGCTGGGTGGCCTGAGAGACAGCTGTCCCTCAGGTTGGGACAATAAAACCAGTGCGGGGGTGGGCAAAGCCACCCACTGTAACCTGACCGGGGTGGCCACTGGGCTATTTTTAACAGGGGACAAAGTTAAACCTGGTGATTGTTCTGGGGACTCTGGCATGCAGGGGTGGGGCAGCGTTATCTGGCCCCCTGGCCTGCTGGTGCCTCAGGAGCCAAAATTAGTCCCTGGCTCTGCCAGGCCTTGTATGGGCACAGGGTGGAGGGCTGGTGTCCCCCTCCCAGCTCCACGGATTCCTGCAGGATAGGCAGGGGCACCCCCATAGCCAGCCATAGCCCTTCCCTGCCCAGGAATGGGGCCACATTTCCCAGGGCTGAGGGACGGGTTCCCTTGTGGACAGCTGTCTGTGTCAGATGTCCTTGTCTCTGTGCTGGGGGTAGGTAAGCAACACGCCCCCCTCCCGAGATAGAATAGCATCTGAAGCCCCTCAGCGACCCCAGCAGGGACTTGGGGTGACCACCCGCTAGCCCTTACCCCTGGCTAAGCCACTGAGCCCTGAGCCTGCCAGGCCGGATGGGCGCTGGGGCCCCAGTGCTCTGCTCCCTCTTCCCAGTCACTCCCTGCCTGCCTCAAGCTTCAAAGCCCCTTCTCCAGCTCAGGATTCTGGCTCTGCAGCCCCCTTCTCACAACCCCTGTCCCACCCTCCACAGCATCTTCAGCCAGTCAAGGGACTGGAGTGGGTGGGGGATTGGGAGTGTGTGAGAAGCAGAATGTGAGGGACAGAGATGGGGGGCAGGGAAACAGCGACAGAGCCTCAGAGGAAGAGCCTGGGAGGAACAATGAGACAGAAAGAGACTGGGAGAGCGACCAGAGACACAAACGCAGAGAGATGTGGCCGGGAGACGATGACACAGACTATAGATGTTTGGAGACAGGTCTAGACGTGTTGCGAAAGCTTCGACATCCTCTTCCACCACCCTGCACAGCTCCCACAGACCCTAAATGCACCCCTTCCACACCCGGGAACACCAGACCCACTGTCCCCTTGAAGGCCTGGGCTGAAAGTATGTGGGTCCTCTCCTGGGTCCCCACCACCTCCTGGGGGTGACCTTGCACCCCATCCCGAGCTGAATGAGCCCCCAGTGGGCCAACCCACCCCAGCCCTGCCCAGACCCATCCCTCACCGCAGCCTTGTAGATGTCATCCATACTGGCGGTTCACAGGGCAGGCTGCTGGGGTTGCCAGCAGCCCTGGGCTTAAATAGCCCTGCCCCATCTCATTCCCCGCCCAGCCCACCCCTGCCTGCAGTATCCTCCACTCCCTCCCCCCCCGGCTCTGGTGATCTCACACTGGCCTGAGTCCTGTGTCCTCTGCCCAGGGCAAGGAGCCGATGAAGGGCTACAAGGACCAGGTCTCTTTTCCTCTGTCCCCCATTCCCCCAGGGGACTCTCTGGAAAGGTTTTAATGAGTGAAAACGTGAGCCCAGGACAGGACAGGAGCTGCAATGTAGTGGGCCTCAGGCCAGGCCCCTATACACATTAGCTCAACTCCTATCCAACCAGGGAGGTGGGTGAGGCTCCTGGGGGGGTGGCAACTTGCTCAAGGTCTGTCTGACTTGGTAGCTCCTGCCTTAAGTTAAACCTCTCTGGAGTAGGGGCAGCAGTATGCAAGAAGAGGCTGGGAGTGTAGGACCGGGCCAAGAGAAGCCTCGAATGCCAAGCTGAGTATGGTGCTGTGTAACTGGTGGAGAAGGAAGGCACTGACCTACCTCAGGAGAGTGTGGTCTGGAGCTCTTCTGCCAAGCGTGCCAGAGGAGCCATGCCCAAGACCTCTCATCTCCCCAGGGAGAAAACTACTAGCTCTAGGCTTGACTGCACTCAATCAGTCATTCCACAAATATTGATACACCAACAGATGCCCCATCTGTGTAAGACTCTCCCCCTCCAGTTCCGTTACCACCTCTCTTTTCTAGACCTGGGTCTTCCCCTGAGTTAGGGCTGCTTCTCTGTGCTTCCCCTTTCCAGTACTGTAGTTCCTGGGTCCAGGACCAGGCTGTTGCCCCCTCATTTTGAGCTCTGGTAGGACACCATCTGGGGGTCTTGTGCCAGATGGCCAGCACATATCCCTTCCTTCCACCTAACCCTTCACCTCCTTCACACAAAGCCTACACCAGTTCCCTGCCCTGCCTGACAGGCATTGCATGGATTAACCCACTCAATTCTCTGGAAACCCATGTGACAGAGATCTCCGAGTCTCGGAGAGGTTAAGAAATAGCCCAGAGTTATGCTGTCCTGCTCGGGCTCCAGGCACAGATCAGATCTTCCTTCTCTCTCAACCCTCTCGTGCCCTCTAGGGAATGAACCCAAGAGCCAGGTGAGATGTGGTTACTGTCTCTTATCTGGAGAGGGAAACTGAGGCCAGGCGTGGCAGTGACTTGCTTCGGGTAGCCTGAAAGGTGCGGGGCCATCGCACCTCCCTTCCTGGGCACCTAGCGGCAGTGCCCAGAGCAGTCCCCGCATAGGCCCTCAGTTTCCCCCACGCTGCAAAGAGCGCGGCAGGCGGTGCCACGCAGGTACCGGTTACGCAAGAGCACAGTCCCCGGCGTCCTGCGCACGCGCGCCGCTGGAGGCCGCTGTCAATTACGCGCGAAGCGGGGAGTGGGGCGGGGGCGCGAGAAGGCGGCGGGGCCAAGATGGCTGCACTGCGCGCGGCGGGGGCGGGGGGCGGCGGGGGCCTGGGGGCGGTGGGACGCTGACCCCGCCCCCTGCTGCTGCCAGTCTGCACCGGGCGGCGGCGGCGACCGAGCCCGGAACATGGCGGCGGCGGCGCGCAGCTTTGGTCCCGAGCGGGAGGCCGAGCCGGCCAAGGAGGCGCGCGTCGTGGGCTCTGAGCTCGTGGACACGTATACGGTGTGCTAGGGGCTCGGGCGCCCGAACTGGGGGTGGCGGCTGGAACCTGGAGCCTGAGTCGGGGGTGTTGGGGAGGGCGTCTGAGCCCTGCAACTGGGGAGCTGGGGGTAGGCGGGCTGCGATTTTGAGGAGGGGGCCTGGGATGGCGGAATCTGGGGAAGGGGCCTGGGCCGCGCAGCTCCGGAAAGAGGGTCTTTGGGTGGGGCTCGCGGAGGGGGCTTGGGAAGGGTACGCGTTTAGAAAAGGAGGCTAGGGTTGAGGAGAATCAGGGGATAAAGGGGGTCTGCGGAAGAGGGGAGTCAGGTTGAGGCGGAGGCCCCTCTAGATCCTCTAGGCCTGGAGGGGCGCCGGCCTGGGAGGACGTGACAGGGTGTCCCGGAGGAGGAGGATTAAGGAGTGGGGGATTTGATGGACGGAATCAGGGGAAGGGGTCAGGGCGCTGCAGGCTGTGAAGAAGGAGAGGGGGCGGGGCCTTGATCTGGGGGGGCCTAGGGCTTGCAGTTGAGATTTGCTCAAAAAGTGAAGGAGGTATCTGGGGCCTTCGCGCTGAGACAGAGACAAGAATGGGGGAGGGGTGGGGCGCAGACACCGGGAACTGAGGGGGTGGCTCAGGGCCGAAAGGCCGCGACCCAGGAACCTTAGGGCTCTTCGTGGCTTTAGGGTGTGCGGGAGAGTTGGGGCAGCGTACCGCCCACGCACGCTTCAAGGCTGTGGGGGAGATGGAGGACAGAAAAGGGGGGCAGTTGCGGACTGTGAAGGAGTTGGAGGCCCTCCGGGGTCTGGATGGGGTTGGGCACCACGCCTGTGGGCCTCGGAGGCTGCTTAGCAGGGACTGGCCCCCAAGGTGCGGGCATCCTGAGCACCTCCCAGCCTCCTGTCCTTTGTTCTCGGAGGGTGGGGGGGTGGGGGCTTTGGCCCTGCCTTCACCCCACCTCCTTGGCCCTCATCCTAACCTTCCTCCTGAGGGTCATTTTTCTGGCTCTTTCTCCTTTCCTGGGCGGGAAGAGGGGGAGGGAAGCTGCCCGGCTGTGGAGAGGGGCTGGGGGCGGATCCTGGAGCAACAGGCAGGCCCAGGAGAAATGGCTGCTCCTCCAGGGAGGCTTCAGCAGAGTTGATTATTTTCTCCTCCCTCTTCCCTGCGTCCTTCAGAGAGGGGCGGGACCTTAGGACCAGGGGGCCTCATCCAGGTGAGGGTTGAGGTCTCTGAGCTGTTGGCTGGTTGGCCGTCACGCGTGCACTGCATGTAGCTGGAGGGTTAGCTCCAAAAAGCCTCCTCATTGCACAGGGCTGAGTCCCTCCTCCGAATGGGTGTGGGGGGAGGTGGTGACCCAGGCGGACTGGACAGTACCGTTTCGTGTCCTTTTGTCCGGGTATGCTGATTTGAGTATTATTAACACACCTGCCTCTGGTTGAAAGCTTGCTGTATGTCAGGCCCTTTACAAAGCATTTTGCGTGCATTACCTTTGATCCTTAAACCTAGCAGATGTTAAGCTGGAGGAACTGAGACTCAGACAACTTAAGGCTCCCAGTCACTTATATAAGTGACATAAATAGCCAGGAAATGGCAGAACCAGATTTTGGACACAGGTCTTCCTTGACTCTACGGCCTGTTCCCTTCTGATGGGGCTTAATTGTCCATCACTGCTTCCCCCCCGCCCCCCCATCAGCTTCTTAGTGCCTTGACTCCTGGCTCAGCAGCAGAAATCACAGCCCTGAAGCAGCTGAAAGCGTTGGAAAAGGACTTGATTCTAGGATACAGTCAGGGCACCTGGGAAAGAATTACAGCAGAAAAGCTGGTCCTGCCAAACCTGACCCTGTTGTGCCTCTCTTAGAAGGGATGGCCTTCCTTTCCTGCAGCTCAGGTTGGATTGGGCTTTGACTTACATGAGGCTGGAGTTAAAAAAAACTAAAGAGATGGCTTGATATGATAGCCACCTTTTCTGTTTCTCACTGTTGGATAGAGCTCAGACTTATCCCATGTGCCTGCCAGATCCAGTGCTAGGGCCATGGAGGAGAGGGGGGCCTTGCTGCTCGTAAGGGTCAGGTGCAGAAGCTGGTTGGCAAGAGCAGCTTAACTTTGGCTTGGGAGTTGGGGGGGTCTGGGTGTGCCACAGCTATCGTTAAGGGTAGGGTGGCACTTTCCATACTGCCGGCTTGGCAAGGGCTATCGGTTTTTCCTTTTAGGTTTACATCATCCAGGTCACTGATGGCAGCCATGAGTGGACAGTCAAGCACCGCTACAGCGATTTCCATGACCTACATGAAAAGGTAACCCTTGAGAGCTGGGGTCCTGTGTCTCAGAGCTTGGGGGCTTTTAGGCCAAGCTCCCACTGTGCCCGTTTTAGGGCAAAACAGGCTCTGTGCCAGCTACATTAATAAACTGGTTTGTTAATGTAACTGGCAAAAAAACCTGGTGGATTCTGGGAGTTCAACCCTTGCATAAGATAGTGTGCAAGGAGCATATTTGAACTTTAGTTTTACGATTGTCAGTTGTAGCTTGGATGTGAGATGCCGGGGCAGTTTCCTGGGGAGGGAACAGGCTTGAAGTTGTTCCATCTGACTATACCTACTCCAGAACCTATGCTTTAATATCTGACTGTGGTTCTATTTCTTCCTTTGCGTTTGGAGAGAGCTGCCTTTCTCTGGGTCATTTGCAGCACAAGTATTTTGTTCTGGTTTGGAGAAGATGGTGGGTTTAGGGGCCTTGAGGTATTATTTCCCTAAATGTCTCCAAAGCCTCCTGATGGAACGCCTCATCTGAAATTGTATTGGTATTTCTAGTGCTAATTAAACTTGAGGCCGAATCCCAGGTGCAGCAGTTTGATCATTAATTCTGGTACTACTGTCAGGAGGGGCTGTGGAAGTCATAATAAGCACCTGCCCTCAGGCTGGTTGGCTTGGCCTTGCACAGTTACAGAACCTCTTGGTCTGTGGTTGACATTATGTTTGCTTACAGCTCGTCGCAGAGAGGAAGATCGATAAAAGTTTGCTTCCGCCCAAAAAGATAATTGGGAAAAACTCCAGGAGCTTGGTGGAAAAGAGGGAGAAGGATCTGGAGGTCTACCTGCAGACACTCCTGGCCACCTTCCCTGACGTGGCCCCCAGAGTGCTGGCCCACTTCTTGCATTTTCACTTCTACGTAAGTTCCTCTTGGGTTTTCTCCTTTGCCTACAAGCCCACAGCCACCAAAACTCCAGGCAGCAAACCCTTGTAGACCTCAGCTTTGAGGAGAGGTGGGCTGGAGCTGGAGCCTGAGGTTAGAAGATGGAGGAGCGTCCTGGTGGGGTTGGGGTACAGACAGAAGCATGTGCATCAACGGATTTGCCTTAGACTATTTGCTGTGGCCACGGAGCGGTTTTTCTCCACCACAAGGCGTTCTGTTTAGCATAAATGGCCTTTGGGTTTTTGAGCTACGTTCCATCCAAATGGATGGGGTTAGATTAGAAACAGCTGACACTCGGCATCGACTGTTGTTGAGTTGTTGGTTCCCAGCTCAAAACTAATTAAGGGATCAGTCTGTGTTGGCAGAATATTGCCATCTTAGGGCATCGTCAGAGTCCAGGGTGTCGAGTGAGAGTAGGTGGCTCCCTCCATTGGGACTGTATGTCTCAGAGCAGCTCTGTACCCCCTTCTGGATGGAGGAACAACTGTCATGGGCTGCTGGTGACAGGATGAGTTGTCAAAATTCAAGGAGGAAGTTTGGTGCAGTGTGAAACCAAAATGTTAAAAAGCCAGCAATTTCATTTCTGAGAATTTATTCTAAGGGAAATAACTGGGCGACTGAGAAAAGGATATGGGTACAAAGATAGTCATTCCAGGATTATAACGAGATATTGAAGACAGTCAAAAGCCCAACAGAAGGCTACTTAAAAAAAAAAAATTAAAGGGTGCAACCAAGTAATTGGATATTATGCTGCTAGAAAAATGACGGTGTAGCAGTGGATTTGTAGGAAAACAAATATATTACTTTATGAAAAGAGGCCAGAAAACGGTATTAAGGTATGGTCCCATTTTCATTAAAAAAAAAAAAAAGCTTGTATGAATATATTTGTCTAGGAAAATTCTAGAAGGTTATACATCAAAATACTAGGAGTCTTTGGGTGATAGATTTTTGGATAATTTACATTTAATTGTTTTCTCTTTGTGTGATGAAGATGGGGGAAAACACTCCCTTTTCCTTTTCAGGCTTGCCTTTTAGGAAGGGACCTGTGGGTTGTGGTCCTAAAGGCCCAAACTTATTTAAACAATAAGTGTCTTGAGCTATTTTCAGAGTAAGACAGCTGAATCTTTCTTGAAGTGTTAGAGCCTGGGAATTTGGTGATAGCACTAGCAATGGGCCTCTCGGCTTGGAGGGGCCATGCGGAAAAAAGGGTGGCATTTATAGATGGGAGATATATATGTATATATATCTTTGGATTTTGTTTGGCATATACCAGTAATGTATGTGGTTAGCAGTAGTTTCCTGTTGTAGCCTTTTTTTTTTTTTTTTTTTTTTTTTTTTTT